GATGATGAGGATGATGAGGATGATGAGGATGATGAGGATGATGAGGATGATGAGGATGATGAGGATGAGGATGAGGATGATGATGATGATGACGATGAGGAGGAGGAGAAGGAGGATGAGGAGCAGGAGGAGGAGGAGAAGGAAAAGGAGGAAAAGAAGGAGGAAGAGGAGGTGGAGGAGGAGGAGGATCAGGAGTAGGAGGAGGAGTAGGAGGAGTAGGAGTAGGAGTAGGAGTAGAAGGAGGAGGAGGAGGAGGAGGAGGAGGAGGAGGAGGGGGAGGAGGAGGAGAGGGATGAGGAGGAGCAGGAGGAGGAGGAGGAGGAGGAGGACTGGGAGATCGTGGCGTGGAGGATCAACGCGCGCTTGAACTTCGGAATCATAGTTGCAATCGCAAGCATCACAATCAGAACACTGAAGACACTGATCGTAGGTGTACAGCATACACAGCCGCAATCAACAACATTACGAGTGAGGGTGGAATGTAAGTACGCCGGGACGGGGTTTCATGATGCGAAGCGGGGGGGATGGCGGACATGTGGTCAAGGGGGGTTCTCCTTCACCTTCTTACGCTCACGCTCGCGCTCCTACAGCGTCCTGGATCCAATGCGCGGGTGCGGCCACGCAGCAGACGGGCCGACAGCCGACGGCCTGTGCACGGCGCGGTCAACGACCTGCCTTGAGTGAGCGGAGAGGGTTTGCGGGCGACGGCAGCGGCGGACGCAGCAGCCCAGAGTGTGCGCAGAAGGGGAGGAGAAACGGGAAATGGAGCTGCGCGCCGCCGCAAGTCACGTCCACGACTGCACCGAGGGTGTGCGGAGGGTGGCAGGCGATGGCAGCGACGGCAGCAGCAGCCCCAGAACGGGCGGAGAACGGGGGAGGACGCACTGGAAAGAGGGCTGCGTGCCACCGCGAGGCGTGTCGGCCGCGGACAGTCTGGGGGGGTGCTCCTGCCCACTGCGCGACAGGGTCTGGCAGGCGTCTCTGCTCTCCCGCTCTCCCGAGGCGCGCCTGGGCTCCCCGTTCTCTATCCCCTCGCCTGTGGCGACTCGCGGAGGCTGGTCCTCCCACCCCGCGCTCCGCCAGACATCCGCCAGTCCCGGCGATTGTGAGATTCGGCTGGCCGAGGCGGTATGGGCCCCTCGCAGCTCGGCGCACAGTGGGTGTGTCGTCTCTGCAGCGCTGAGGTCCTGGCTGGCCGACTTAGTCCTTGGTATACGGTTAAATTGCCATAGTTCAGGATGATGATCTTAGGAGGAGGAGGGTGGAGGAGGAGGAGGAGGAGGAGGAGGAGGAGAAGGCGAGCAGGGAAGGAGGAGTGAGGAGGAGGTGGAGGAGGAGGAGGAGAGGAGGAGCGAGAGGGAGGAGGAGGAGGAGGAGGAGGAGGAGGAGGAGGAGGAGGCGGAGGAGAAGAGGAGGAGGAGGAGGAGGAGGAGGAGGAAGAGGAGGAGGAGGAGGAGTAGGAGGAGGAAGAAGAAGAAGAGGAGGAGAAGGAGGAGGAGGAGGAGGAGCAGGAGGAGGTGGAGGAGCAGGAGACGGCGGGACGGTGCAGGGGCAAGAGGAGACGAGTAGACAGCCCAGGCGCACCAGTGATCCCAAGTTTCCGCGCGCACCACCTCGAGGAGGACGAACGCCAAAGAACACGCCCACCACGGAAGGAACCGAATGTTGGGGTGCCAGGGAGGGGGGGAGCGACCTTGGGTGTATGTGTTTATGTATTTATCTATATACATAGATGTGTGCGTGGGCGAGAGTCAATGTGCAGACTCCGTGTAAGTCCGAGCGAACGAGGGCCCGAGGGGCCGAACCGAAACTGAAGGGCGGACCAAGGGACCCGGAGCGAAACGAGCGAAAGGCCCGACCGAGAGCAGTCCAGCCTTGGCTGCAAGGCGGCCTGTGGTTGTCGCCGCTGCTCGAGAGTGCAGTCGGCCCAGATGAGTAGGTCGACCCTGACAAATCAAGGGTACCCTTGTGTCCTGTGTCTCTCGACCCATGCCTCCTGCACTACTATGGCAGTGTGGCCCTTGGAAGGGTCTTGTGTCCACTCGCGTGTCCTGTTCAATCAAGTCCGGCTGTGGTCGGATCTTGTAATCCGCGCTCTCTGGAGCCAGCGGGCCATTGCAAGGCCGCCGCACTGCACGCGCGGCCGCACAGACGGCTGGACGTCGCCCGCTCCCAGCCCGCCGCAACGCACATACACAGACACCCTCCAGCGGATGGTTCTTGGGCCTCGGGGGAGAGGGTGGCGGTGTATAGATCACCGCTGAGAGCCAGCGACTTACACACTGCCGCCCTCCCTGAAGGTGCACGCAACATTCGTCGCACGGTGTCTGTGTGTATCTGTGTGTATGTGTGCGTGCGTGCGTGCGTGCGTGCGTGCGTGCGTGTGTGTGTGTGTGTGTGCGTGTGTGTGTGTGTGTGTGTGTGTGTGTGTCTGTGTGTGTGTGTGTGTATCACTTCGTGGCGTAAGACTGCCTCGGACTCCCCTTCCTCGCAGCAGCTTTCTGGCTGCTCCCGGGTCGCCTCGTCAGCGCCGGTGTGGCCCTGACTGCCCGACGCTCGGCCGCTGACTGTGGGGCGACGAGATCAGCGCAAGCACATCCGCCGTCGCCGGCCAGGCCCATCCTGGGCCCAGGACCAGTGCATGCGCCCCCTCTGACTTTGCCAGGGAGGCATGTACACCCACTCCAGTGCCCAGGTTGGGCCTGGCCAGCGGCGGCGGATGCGTATAGATCTCGTCGCCCTGGACTGCCGCCTGCAGCTGCTTGCCTCGCCGGGCGCGAAAATCCGCTCTTGCGGAGCCCAGCCTCCTCGCCTCCGCTCCTCGCCCCCCCCGCCCGGTTTTGCGACGCCCTCGCATGCGGCCCGCTTCTCCCGCGGTGCTGCCGCCGGCGAGGACAGCTCAGCGACGTCACTTGCCAGCTCGCCACCCTCGTGCGGGTACTCCTTCAGAGGAGGGAAAAGGTACCAATACCGCTGCCCCTCCCTCGTTTTCGCCTTTTTGGGCCTCCTGGGAGGCCCCCGTCGCCACCGCTGCATTCGTCTCGAAATTCTCGTCAGAGCGCACAGGTCCAGGGAGTAGGAGGAGGAGGAGGAGGAGAAGGAGGAGGAGGAGGAGGAGGAGGAGGAGGAGCATGAGGAGGTAGGAGGAGGAGGAGAGGAGGAAGGAGGAGGAGGAAAGAGGAGCAGGAGGAGGAGGAGGAGGAGGAGGCGGAGGGAGTGATGGGGAGAGGAGGAGGAGCAGAGGAGCAGGATGAGGAGGGGGAGGAGGAGGAGGAGGGGGATGAGGAGGAGGGGGAGGAGGAGAGGAGTGAGGAGGGGAGCGGGAGGAGGAGGTGGAGGAGGAGGAGGAAGGAGGAGGAGGAGGTAGGAACAGGAGGAGGAGGAGGAGAGGAGGCGGAGAGGAGGAGGAGGGGAGGAGGAGCAGGAGGAGGAGGAGGAGGGGAGGAGGAGGGTGGAGGAAGGGAGGAGGAGGAGGAGGGAGGCGGAGGAGGAGGAGGGAGGAGGAGGAGGAGGAGGAGGAGGAGGAGGAGGAGGAGGAGGAGGAGGAGGAGCGGTATCGGTACCGGTTGGGTCCCCCACTCCTGCTGCTCCTGGGCCGCGTCGCCCGCGTCGGGTGGCAGCAGCGGGTGCCTCTGCCTGCTCGGGGTCGGGCGAGTGGTCAGCTCCCCCTCGGCGAGCTCCTCGATCTGTTCCACAATGGCACCTTGGAGCCTCGGGCGCGCGCTCGGCCCCATGCCGGGCAGCCTTCGGCTGCGCATCGCCGCCGCCGCCAGCTCCTCATGATGCCGACCGCCCAGCGGAGCCAAAGCGGTGCGGGGCAGTGCACGGCGGCGAAAGCGCAGCGACACGTGGCGAGCCTGCCCTGGTGTCACGTCGAGGTGCGCGGTCGGGAGCTCTGGCTTCGCATGCCGCTCCGCCGGTCCTGGCCCGCCGCGCCGCAGCTGCGGCGCGGCGTGGCACGCGGTCCACTTCCCGGCCCCCGGGCGTCTACGCCCCGAGCCTTCCCGAGCCTCCCGCTCCGCGGAGCGGAGGGACGCTCAGGAGGGGGCGCATCGATCGCCAGTCGCCCATTCATTGCCCATTGCGCGTCCCGCCCAGGACCATGCGGATTCGCTATCGGGGGCCCGTCGCCGATCCATCGGCGACGCATGGCCGATACCAGCTCGATGCTTCCCCCTCTGAGCTGCCCCCCCCCCTCCCGCCGGATTGGCGCCAAGGACGGGTCCGCTGCGGCCAGGGGGGGGCCGCGCTGAAGCCGAGCAGGTGCCCTAGCCGAGTGGGAGGAGAAGCCAGAGGAGGACGTCGAAAACGAGGCGGAGGGGGGGAGGAGGATCAGTCAGAGGAGGTAACAGTTTTGAGGGGGAGGAGGAGGCACCGTGGCCTCTCACCACCGGGAATCCTTGCTTCCGCTCTTCCAGCAGGGCCGAGACGCCCGGCAGCCCTTCTCGGGAGCCGCGGCGGCGCGGCGCGTGCGGAGCCACCTCGCGCCGCGCGAGGCGGTCGCGCCTGCCGCCCGCGCGAGACGCTGCCGCCGCGGCGGGCGCAGGGCGCGCGAGCCACCATGAAGTCGGGCATGTCCCTCCACAGGAGGGATGGCCAAGAAGAGGGAATAATAGTCATGGGACGATTTATCGTGTTCTTTTGATTCCGCTTCGTCTCTTGCGTGACCATTTCCATTTTTTCTTCGAAGATCCGCCCGTAGGAGGGCGCGCCCGACCGAAAGCTACGACCCCGAGGGTGGGGGTGCCCAGGAGCACGGTCGGACCGAGGTCGAAGATCGAGGGCGGCTCGGGGAGGTGCCCTACTGTTCTGCGTGCTCGTTGGATGATCTCGTGCCTCCTGGGGGAGGCCCCCCTCTCGACAAGTTCTTCCGTCGGGCCAGCGGAGGTTCTCATGCTCTTGGAGGATGCTCTTCTGTCCTAGGTCCGGTCGTACCCCTGCAGGGCTTGTTTCGGTTCGTCCGACCCGATTCGATTCGACCTCGATATTTTCCGCTTCCGATTCGATTCGACCTCGGATTCCGACGTGGAGCCCCATGCCCCAATTGGGGCCTCACTAGCCTGCCGATACCCGCCGATCCGACCTCTTTCGATTGGGCTGCCGACTTCCGCCGCTCCGATTCCTTCCGATCGCCGCTCCGATTCATCGATTCGATGCTGGGCTTCCCTGCCCTGAGGTTTGCTGCCTCGATGCGCCAAGTGTTGTGTTCAAGAAGTATGTGTTACCACGCTTCGTGTTGGCTCGGCACACGAGACCAAAGACACGATGGGTTCATGACACATGCAGGCCTGTGGAGCTAGTTGTTTGGGCATTGCCGCCGGAACAGACGCTCGGATCGATGCCGCCAGAACACCAAAGTGGACCGAGCTGGAGCATAGTTCTGTGCATCGTGAGTGAGCCTGCTAGCAGCGATGCCCTTGCCAGCCGCTTCTGACTATTCCCCAATCAGTGCTTGCACCGAAGGGGTCCCAGCGGAAGTCGAAAGGTTTGGCGAAAGCTTCCCGCCGATTTTGGTAGCAGGCTGGGTTCCCGGGGTCCCGGTTCCCGGGCTCCGGGGGTCCCCGCGTCAATGGTTCCGGGCCGCTTTCGGTGGGTTCTGGGTTCCCGGGCGATCTTCTCAGCGAAAGCCATCCACTGACTGGGGCTTCCCTCTGGTGTGATATATGCTTTTTCGGGCGCTCCGGCCCCGCCCCGCTCAGCCCCCTCGCGTGGACATTCTTGCGGCCACCGCCAGCGTCCTCGCGTTGGCTCGGCACGTGTCGGGCCACGCTTTGGCGAACGTGTCGCGCCAGACCTGCGCTCTCAATCTGCGTGTCGAGCTCCAGGTCAACACGCTACGTGTTGCGCGTCGCGCATCGGGGCAGCTAGGCAGCTAGGCCACTGAGGTCCTGGGGGCTGTCTCTTTTTCGAGCTGGGCGTTTTCATTTGTGTTTCAGGCTCCGAGACCCCTCGCAGCTGGATCCTGGCCCTACATTCCGCTCGTTTCCGGGTTCCGGGACCCTCGCAGCTCGACCTCGTTCGGACAGTGGCGCAGCAGAATGGGGCCCGGGGCTCTCTTGTCATGATTTTGCACCTTGTTGAATTTTTTTCGCGACGTCGGATCTCAGGGACAGGAGAGGTCGTGGCCGCGCTGCCCCCCCGGGGCCGCCTTTTTTTCCTTCTCCTCCTCCGTAGCCCTCTTCGGTCTTTCCTCTCTGGTCTTCCCGCAGCCTTCTCCTCTCTCTCTTCTGCCCCCTCGCTCCTCCACCCAACGGCAGGATGGAGGAGGGAGGGAACATGATTTATGTTTCCTCCCTCCTCCGCACCTCCCTGACTCCCTGATGCTTTTCCTCCTCCACCTCCCCCTCCCCGTCCTGTTCCTCCTCGTGTTCCGCCTCATGATATGTTCCTCTTTTCTTCTCCTCGTCTTGGCGAGGTGACCGACTTCCACATGCCCTTGAACGAGGAGGGAAAGCCCAGGGGCTTCGTCTTCATCACCTACGCCTCGAAGGAGGGCCTCGACGCGGCGCTCAAGTTCGACGGCACAGACTACGGCGGCAGGACGCTCATCACTTCTCGTCGTCGTCGTCGCCCTCTCCTCCATCTCTAGTTGCTCCTGCTCTGACCTCTGCTTCTGCCTCTCTTGCTGCTTGTCCTCCTCCTCCTCGGCCTGCTGCTTCTGCTCCTGCTGGTGTTGATCATGATTATATTATTTATCGCCCCTGTCCTCGTGTTTTCGCGGCGCGCCTAGACAAGTGTAGTCTATCCGTCTCTTCCTGCCGTTCTCTGTCTTTCTGTATTCCGATCCAGAAAGGAGGAACGAGAGACCCTCTGACGCCATCCCGCGCCTTGTGGGCGCCAACGCCTCCATTCAAGAGACAGGCACGCCGTACAGATCCTCTACCTGTAGTTGTTGCGACTTCTCTTCTTATTAAAATCTCTCTCTCTCTCTCTATCTCTCTCTCTCTCAAGACGGGAGGGGGTTCCTTGCAGCAGTATCCCGCCTCAGTCGAGAAGCAGGGAAAGGGAACGACGATGACCGCAGTTTCGTGAGCATGCGACGTCGCGCCGACCCCCAGGACTATCAACGTGTCTGAGGCGGCTGAGAAGGGCAAGGGCAAAGGCAAGGACGGCGGCAAGGGCAAGGACGGCGGCAAGGACGACCCGAGGGGGGGGGTGGAGGAGGAACAAGAGGGAGGAGGCGTGGGAGTTGGAGTAGGCGGATGGTGTGGGGTCAGGAACGGGGCGCGCAGCAAAGTACATTACAATTCGAGCGTATGGGTAAGGGTAGGAACTCAGAAGAGCGATTCCCCAAACAGTGCCTGAACTTTTGGGTTCTCATCTCTATTTCAAGGAATTTGATCTGCAGGCCGATCTGGCGGCTATGTTGTCGCCGTCGCCGCCCCGTCGCCGCCTCGTAGCCGCCCGTCGTCTGGGCCTGCGGGTCGGTCTGGCGGCTAGGTTGTCGCCGTCACCGCCGTCCGTCGCCGTCTCATCGCCGCCCGTCGTCTGGGCCTTCGGGTCGGTTTGGCGGCTATCTGGCGGCTATGTTGTCGCCGTCGCCGCCGTCCGTCGCCGTCCACATAAACTGCACCACGTAGATTGCGCAAAATATATGGCGCACCACGTTGGTGATCCTTTCTAAAAGAGTAACAGGATCTGCCTCCCCCCAGACTCGTATTGCCCCTTTGCCCGATTGTCCATCCTTGAATTGAACTCATACTTTTCCAGGCAGGCCGAAATCCGACTCTTGTAGCAGTGGTCGCAGTAGTAGTAGTAGTAGTAGTAGTAGTAGTAGTAGTAGTAGTAGTAGTAGTAGAAGTAGCAGCAGTCGTAGTCGTAGTCGTAGTCGTAGTCGTAGTCGTAGTCGTAGTCGTAGTCGTAGTCGTAGTCGTAGTAGTAGTAGTAGTAGTAGTAGTAGTAGTAGTAGTAGTAGTAGTAGTAGTAGTAGTAGTAGTAGTAGTAGTAGTAGTAGAAGTAGTAGTAGTAGTAGTAGTAGTAGTAGTAATAGTAGTAGTAGTAGTAGTAGTAGTAGTAGTAGTAGTAGTAGTAGTAGTAGTGGTAGTAGTAGTAGCAGTAG